AGGTGGTGCCAGTCTGCATCCAGCTCCAGCCCCGTGCTGCACAGGTGGGAACAGGGGCCAGGGCTGGGAAGTCCCGAGGACAGGGTCGGAAGGACTGCACCAGTCCAGGCAGCCACGATGGTCTGCAGAACTGGGGTGTGGCAGGAGCCAGGCAGGGAGAGAAATCCATGTAAGAGCCTCTGAGGCTGGAGTGAGGGCCAGGCTGGAGTGAGGGTGGAGTCAGGGTCAGGTTGGGTCGGGGTTAGGCTTAGAGATAAGTGGGGTGAGATCCCAGTCTTCAGGAAATGGGCTTTTGTTTGCCTGGCGCTTACTCATTCTAATTCTAACCCTAACCCTAACCCTAACCCTAAGGCATGCAGGACCCTTTCCCACACACACACAGCCCCCACTGATGTAACTGCTCACGCTCACGGCATGCCCAGCCTCTGCTTCTCCTCCCTAACTGTCCATCCTCCAGGCTGCTGGCTCTCTGGGCAGCAGCACCATCCCTCCACCCCCTCCCCCTTGCTTGTCTCCGGGTTTTACTTCTGCAGCAGCCCCTGAACTGTGTGCAGCTTCCTGCCCCTCCCCTGCAGCTCAGATGTGTGTGTTGGGGGAGAGTTCTAGGAAGCTGAACGGGAGGCACGGTGGTCAGGCCACGTGACTGTGCAGATCCACAGCTGACAGCACCCGGGAAGGACCCTGTACGTGGCCCTGGGAGTGGCCAAGCCTAGAAACCCTGCCCTGAGCACCCTCAGCAGGACTTACACCTTCCTGGTGTGGGCTCCACCTGTGGCCACTGGACCAGCTGGCCCTCTGGCCTCACTCTCTGGACGTCCCCAGCACCGAGGCCCAGCAAGTCTCTGTGGTTCCCCTGAAGAGGTGCCCCTCTCACAGGGTCGCTGTGCTCAAAGCCCCTCAGTGCTCGGCCTGCAGAAATCTGGATCCCACCATGATCAGCCCAGCAACATGTCTCCCCCAAGGATCCCTGGACCCCCAGCTGCCGGACCCCAGCGCATACCTGGCAGAGACATCACCTCCTTCTACCTGCCAGCAGCGAGTCCGTGGTTCTGTTTATAAACCGTTTTAACGAGACGCTGAGTGGGTATAAACAAACACTTCTCCACCATAAGGTGAAGGACAGAACTTAAGGTGATCTCTGACATTCCCTGGCCACTTGCCCTGAGATCTTCTCACACTACAGAGGCCACTTCCTTTTGTGGCCTCTGACACACAGTCACCCTGTTTTGCTCTTTCCTCTCCGGCCTCTCTTCCCACACCCGACTGTGGTCCTTGTGGGTCCCTGCAATGCTGGGCTTCATCAGGCTCCGTCCCTCACCACTCTCAGGGAGCACTGTCCCACTGTCACCGATGCCCCGAAACCTGCAGAAGCAGAGGAGGCGGCGGGGCTCTCAGGCGGTGACTGGCCGTGGGATGCTGTGCTCACCGGTGGCCGGCAGCTGAGCGTGCTGCTGGAGGGGGACCTCATCTGGAGGGGTCTCCCGCCCTCCCTTCACCATGCGTGCTCTCCTCTCCCCGGCTGCCCTCCAGGGTGTTTCTGCGGGTGTTGGGTGCTGTGCCCCAGGGATGGGGAAGTGACTTAGACACCCCTGTGGCTGTGACCCCAAACTGCTAGCCCCAGCCCAGGCCTCTAGGGTGAGCGCTGGACCGTGAATGGACCTGCCTACTGGCTGTCCTCTCTCGGACACCTCAGAAGCATCTATGGTCCCAGACTGACCACTTCATCACCCCAGATCAAATCTTCCTTCAAGGCTCCCCCTCTCAGAGCATGACCTTGGGATTGTCCAGGACGGATACTGAATGTCATTCTTGAATCCCATCCCCACTTCCAACCAAACATCAGTGAGTCACCCCAGCAGTGGGGGTGAACCTATGGCACATGTGCCACAGCAGGCACGCACAGCCCTCTCTGCAATGACATCACAAATTGTATGAGTTGGTTTTTCTAAACTAAAACCTCAGTCTTCAGGCTTAATTGCAGTGTTGGCACTTTGTGCTAAGTAAGTGGGTACTGGGTTGCAGCTGGGACACTCAGTTTCTGAAAGGTTCACCATCACGGAGAGCAACCATTGAAAAGATAAAACAAAGCAGCACAGTAAATAAGTCAATAGAGAAGATAAACTAAATATAAAACAATGTAAAAGAAGACAGGAGAAAATGAGGAGTACATAGAACAGAGATGCATAGAAAACAGCAAGATGGTAGATGTAAACCCTAATTATATCAATCATTACATTAAATGTAAAGGGTATAAATGACCCAAGAAAAAGACAAAGATTATCAAGTTGGATTTAAAGGTCAGGAATGACAATATGCCATCTACCTGATACATACTTGAAATCTAAAGAAAAGTTAGAGCCAGGCATAGTGGCACATGCCACTATATATAATCCCAGTGACTCAGGAGGCTGGGGCAGGAGGCTTACAAGTTGGAGCTCAGCCTGGACAGCTTAGCGAGACTGTCTCAAAATAAAAATAAAAAGAACTGAGGGTAGATGTAGCTCAGTGGTAGAGTACTGGCCTAGCATGGTGTGAGGCCCAGGGTTCAATTCCCAGTACCACACACACACACACACAAAAAGTTATAAAATGCAAGCAGTAATCATAAGAAAAGGGATTATTTATTTATTCCAGTATCAGGGATCAAACTCAGGACCTTGCGCTTGCGAGACAGGCGCCAGAGCCACTGAGCTAAATCCTCATCAGAAAAGGGATATTTTGTAATGACAAAAGAATCAATTCATTAATATACCTGACAGTTCTCAGCTGGGTGTGGCGGCGCAGGCTTTCGAAGCAAGCACTTAGAGGCTCAGGCAGGAAGATCACAAGTTCCCACCCAGGCAAGGTAACTTAGCAATTAGTGGGAGTCTTTCACAAAGTAAAGAGGACTGGGGATGTAACTCAATGCAAAGGCCTTGGCTTCGATCCCTAGCACCTAGAAAAGAAAGATAACTAACACTTCTACAAGTAAATATACTTGATTATAGAAATTTTTTTAAATGAAGCAAACGGAACTAGGAGAGAGACTCACAATTATGAGTTACCATGACACTTCGCCTCACAGTAACTCACAAAACAAGCAGACAGTTATGAGGGCATATTAGACTCAACAACACCAATAACTGAGATTCACAGGGCCCCACACTGAAAACAGCAAAACAGACAACATTTTCCAGAAAACACTGAGCATTCTCCAGAGTAGATGACATGCTAGGCCACAGGACAAGTCTCAGCATGGCAGGACTTAATTGGAAAACAATAACAAAGAGATATAAGCCCTCTAAAGAATACCCAAATATTTTCAAAGTAAACAGCATACTCATAAATAACTCAAATATCAAATAATCAAAGAGATGTTAAAAAATAGTTTGAACTAAATGATAATAAAAAACAATCTTCGTGAGAGAAAACTAATGCCATGTGTAGAGGAAAATTTGTAGCCTTCGGTATTTATTTTAGGAAAGAAGAAAGATCTATAATCATTGATCTAAGATTTCACTTCGAGAGCTCGGGTATGATGGTGCTCACCTGTAATCCCAGCACTTCGGAGGCTGAGGCAGGATGCTCACCATCAGTTGGAGCCCTGCTTAGCCTACATAGTGAGTGCAAAGCCAGCCTAAACTACATAGTAAGGCCCTGTCTCAAGAAGACAAATACAGAAGCAAAACAGAAGAAGAAAAAAAGAAAGCTAGAAAAACAACAGTAGAAGAAAGGAAAGGATAAAGAGTGGAAATTTATAGTAGAAAAAGATAGCAAAAAATTTTAAAATGATAGTTATTTGAAAAGATTGACAAATTGATAATAGGCTAGATTGATCAATCAGAAATGCATCAATTATTAATATGAGGAATGAAGAAAGATTTTATTCCCAACTACATTAGAATAACAAAGAAATATCATTAATAATTATAAAAATATATTTGACACCTTAGATGAAATGGATGAATTTCTTGAAAGCCACAGCTTGCCAGATTGGTACAAAAAATACAAGATTTGAAAGGCATGTATCTATTACAGTTGATTCATAGTTGAAGATTTCTACAAAGAAAATACCTTGCCTTGATAGTGTCACCGGTGAGCTTCACTGTATGTGTAAGGATAAAACAGTATCAATTTTTTTTTCTGGTACCAGGGACTGAACTCACGACCTTGTGCTTGAGAGGCAGGCATGGTGCCACTGAGCTACATCCATGGCCCAAATAATACTAATCTTAACCACTTTCAGAAAATAAAAAGAGAAATATTTCCTACCTCATTTTTTTAAAGGCAAGCTTTACTATCATACCAAAACCAGGACAAAGATGTTACAAGAAAAGAAAACAAATATCACCCATGCAGAAACATGAAAATGCTTAATAAAATACTAACAAATTAAATTTAGCAATATGTAAATCCAATAATATATCATCAACAAGTAGCCCAGGAATGTAAGATTCATTTTAATGCTAGAAGGGGAAAAAATACAGCTAGGAAGGGAGAAGTAAAAATATTGTCACCTGTGATCTAGTTGTACAGTAGAAAATCCTACAGAATTGACCAGGAAAAAAAAGCAAGAAGAGACTATAAACTAATACATTATTCAGCAAAATTATAGGATACTAGATGATAGCTCGAACCATACATTTCAGTGTGCTAGCAACAATCACTTGGAAAATAAAACTAAAAATATAACACCATCTACAAGCATTGACAGTGTGTATTCTTACAGCCACGAGATACTGCCAAGAGAAACTTAGAAAGAATAAATGCAAAGTGGGGAGCCATCCTCCTACTGCCAACCCTGAGCCCTGCGCCCCAGGTCGGGCTCTCGAGTCTCCGCCTCCCTCCCCGCTTCTCCACACCATGGCCACAGAGACGGGAAACACACGCATGCATGGCTCCTGGTCACCAGAAGCTAAGGACCCCGCCCCTGACGGGCACCGGCCCCCGGCCAGCGCTTCAGCCTGCACTACTGGCAGGCATCTCCATCCATCCTCAAGGGTGCCCCACCTCTGGATTACCTGTGTGTAGACTGTCCTGCATGCCACCACAGGGGCAGCGGGAGTCTCGGCCACCTCACAGCTACGGGTGGCAGGCCTGCCCGCGGGCACAGGCAGTCCAAGGGTCTTCACCATGACGGGATGGTGGGTGATGATGGGGACCGACCCGAGTGTCCCTCATGCTTAGTCCCCGCTGGGCCTGGAGGGTGAGGACAAGCCCAAGTCACCTGGCAACAGTGCCAGGGCCCGGACAGCACACCTGCCTGGGTCTGGGAAGTCCTGGGGACGGTGACCTGCTCCTGCCCTGGCAGCTGGCTTCCTGGCCCACGGCACAGGGCTCTGTGAATAATGGAGGAGAACCTCCCGGGAAAACCCAGCGAGGCACCCGTGGGACCCTGGGAGGGATAATGCCCAGGGAGAGAATCACCACCCGAGTGCTTGGCCCGCCAGGGCACCCCACCAGCCCCGCCTCCTGCCCACGGTGCCCCACCCTGTCCAGGCCCCCCAGGACCCCCTGCTCTCAGGGCACAGGATTGATACTCACCCCAGAAGCTCTCGCCTCTAAGGCTCAGCTTGTCCTGGGATGGGGGCCACCGAGGACGGAGAGAGGGGACGAAGAGCCAGGCTCCACAGAGCAGGAAGTAGCACTGGGAGGTGCAGTGGAGCCGGCCAAAGTCTGCAGGAAGCAGGTGATGCCACACATGCCCAACCTGCCCAGCCGGAACTGCCTGGCCGCCCGCCACTTCCTGCCACCGACTCTGTACCGCACACCGCACGCTCAGCAGGGTCGGTCACTGGGGACCCCGCCTGGCCCGGGACCTGGACACAGCCCTGACCCCATGGAAAGGCCAGGCTGCCCTCCAGGCTTCTGCAAAGTGCTGGGTGCCTTGCCAGGGCAGGGGCTTGGAGACAGTCACCAGCTTCGCGTTTCTCAGGGCAGCGCTGGGTTGGAAGAGCGGCACAGACCACTGGGGACCCTGTGCGCTGTTGGAGGGACGGAGTGTGGAAGGTGGGCCACTGCTGGGACGGAGTGTCTGCGTCCCCTGAACTGGAACCTTCACCCCAAGGAGATGGTTTGAGGAGGTGGCGCTGTGGCCACACGAGAGCTCTCGGTGGGTTTTGTGTCCTTCTAAAAGGGACCCCAGGGCCAGGGATTTAGCTCAGTGGTTCCGCCACCTGCCTCACAAGCACAGGGTCCCGAGTTCAATCCCCGGTACCAAAAAAAAACAAAACAAAAAAGAAAAGGGACCCCAGAGAGCTCCCTCCTCCACCTACCATGTGAGGAGACAGCAGACAGCCAGGATACCACCCTCTGGGACAGTCCCCAGCTCCCGGGTCTTGGATGCCCAGCCTCCAGGGCGGAGGGCACAATGCTTGCTTATGAGCCACCCAGTGTGTATGTGTACAGCGGTTGGGAGTGGGGGTCCAGGTGAGGAAATGCTTTACTTCCTCCTTCAAGGACATCAACAGCTGCCCAGCACACACTGGGAATGGGAGCTGCTGGGTACAGGCAGACAGGCTCAAAGAGCTGGGACAGCCCTGGCGAGGGACGTGGAGGCACGGCTCAAGTGCACCCCCTGCAGGCCCAGGAGGAGCCCGGCTACTGGCAGTGCCTGGCAAGGGGCAGCAACCCTGGAGTCCCAGGCTGGGTGGGGACGCGGGGACCTGGATGGCCTCTAGCCCTCTGCAGGCTGGGAGGGAAATGGCATCCAGCACAGCCTATGGCTGGCGCCTGCTCGTCTCCCAGGAGCCAGAGGGCACAGCCGGGCTCCCACGTGTCGGCCATCAGGCCAAGGGCAAGGGGATGCTGCCAAGGGGGCAGGGGGTGAGAACCACGTGCCCAGGTCCTGTGTCTTCCCGGCGTCCACACTGTTGGGTGGGGCCTAAAGGCCAGGCTCCCCAGCCCCATGGAGTCTTTCAGCAGGCCGTGGACTCTCCAGAGCCCCTGGCAGGGGGGCTGGGAACTCCACCTCCTCCTCTTCCTGACCAGACATCTCACCCCAAATGCCGACCTAGCACGTTTCCAGAGAAGGGCAGCAGCACTGGCTTTGATCTGGGCCACCTGCTGCCCGCTGGCAGACATCACTGGGCGGGTGACATAGGCCCTGGCCCCAGTGCAGCCCTGTCCCAGACAGCAGCTAAATTTGCTCCCAGGTTGGGCTGGAAGGTGCCCAGGAGACAGGGATGCACTGGAGGGCCTGGAAGTGGTGTCCAGATGCATAGACCAGAGTGGCCTGCAGAAGATGGGCGGCAGCTGCCTCTGTGGAGGAAGGAGGAGGGGTCTCTGGCCAGGCCCAGAAGCCCACGGGGTGGGAGCAGCTGCAGGTGACCTCCCCAGGAGTCCTGGTCACACTCCAGCCCTCAGATCAGTGCTGGCTTCCTGCACGCTGGCCAGCGGTGTGCATCACCAGGACACGACTTGGTGTGCCCCCGGTGGTGGGGTCCAGACCCGGAAGAGGTGGTGACCTCCGTCCACCAGAAGCCAGGAGTCACAGTGGCAAGGATGGGGACACCAAGGGGCACCCGGGGAGTTGTAGGAGGCCAACAGGAGCATCGCAGGGCCCAGCAACCAGGCCCCACCAGGTGGCCAGGCAAGGGTGGCAGGAGCAGCTGTGCCAACAGGGAGCCCAGTCCTGGCCCACACGGCACCTCAGCCCCAGACGGAGAGGGGCTGGCCCCCCAGGAAGGACCACAGCCAGTGAGCAGTGCCCATCAGGTGCGAGGTCCTCTCCACACTGGGTATACACCAGGAAGGACACGTAGGTGCTTGTGAGCCACGGGCCCCTAACCCAACCCCACAGGACCCATGCAACCTCCTAGGGGCAAGTCACCCGCCAGTTGCCTCGTCTGCTGGCCCTCTGGGGCCCACTCCACCAGGCCAAACCTTTGTCCTAGGGATGGAAAACATGGCCTCAGGAGCCCGAGACCCCAAAGCCTCATGTGTCCTCCAGGAGGGATGCCCCAGTGTCATCATTGCTCCTGACCAGAGGGCCCTGGTGGACTCCAACTACCCCGGGTCACTCAGTGTGTGGCTCCATCAGTGCAGCCCACGCCTGTGACTGGTCAGCAGCCTGCAGGGACGTCTCTGGGGCCAGGACAAGTGAGTGGGTACAGAAGCTCGGCTTCCCTCATGGCGGGCAGGAGGGCGTGTGAACCCAGGGCACACAGGGGAGGACGGAGGGCACAGCCGGTCCTAAGTGCAGCCACTCAGGAGCATCCCCAGGACAGCATGGCTGGCACCTCCGCTGAGGGGCACTGGCAGGGAGAAATGGGGCGGGGGGGGGCTTCGCATCACCCTCCCACCCGGCACCTGGCCCTGGCCCTGGCTCCCTGAGAGGCTCCTCAGCTCTCAGGACCATGCTTGGCTGTGTGCAGGGAGACAGGGACCGAGACAGCTCAAAGGCGCTGCACCCACAGTGCGTCTGGAGCCCTGGGTCCTCCGCCCAAATGGCGCCTGTCCTGATGGCCCGGCCCTCACAGCCCTTGGCCTGAGTCCAGCAGTGGTCTGGGCCCCTGCAAGGTCTGACAGGCCCCACAGGACCTCCCCATCTCAGCACCTACTTCCCTCCCACACCTGCTGGGGAGCAGATTCGGCCTCGGGGTTCAGGGAAAAGACCCACGCACAAATTGGTCCTGTTATCTATTTATAAGGTCACATCCTGGAAAGATTTCAAGTAATAAATAGTTTACAGCAGCATCTGCCACAACCTGCTCCTGTCTGGCTGTGGCCTCTCTCTGCAGGCAACGAAGGACACCTTGGGCAGACTCGGGAAGCCCATGAGCACCAGGCCTGGAGTCTCTGTCCAGGGTCTCCGGCAGGGAACAAAGATGCTGCCTGGAGTGGCCGCCCCTCCTACAGCAACTGCCTGACCCCAGGCCGGACCTCTCCAGATAGGGTCCTCACCGGCCTGGGACCCTGCCGCTCTGCAGGGCCGGGCACCTAGGACAGATGCCCCAAGCACCCGGGGTGGCACACAGGCTGCCTCTAGGCTTTCATCACTGTCATGATGGAGACCTGCAGGAGGGGAAGGAGAGCCTAGCCTCAGCTGTGTGTGCTCCTTCCCGAACACTGCTGGGAGGTGGCAGCCCCGCCCCACAGCCCCGGAGGGGAGGCGAGCACAGCTCACACGCAGGCACAGGCCACATGCACCAAGGCTGCAGGAGAGTGGGAGAGGCGGAGACGCGGGCAGGGTGGCACACGCACCTCCTGGAGGAAGCGGCCCAGCACCTCCTGGCTGTGGATGGAGCGCCTGGGCAAAGGAGAGTGCTGGTCACCGGGACCTGCCCTGGCCACCCCCACTGGCCCAGGACCCCAAGGCTCACGTGCCCACGGCTGGTCTCTGCCAGGATAGGCGGGCGCCCAGATCCGGGTAAGTGGGCGGCTACTGAGGCCCTGCCCCGCTGGCCGCCCCTGCCCAGGCCGTACCTGTCCACGCTGGTGGCGATGATCACTGTGAAGGCGCCCTCTGCATCCGGCAGGTAGGTGGAGGGCACAACCCTGTAGGTGCCGGTGGCAAGCAGGCAGAGGCGGCTCACCTCCTGGGCATAGCGATGCGGCACACAGCTCAGCAGCGGCTCCTGGAGCAGAAGGGACTGCACATCCTGGCTCTCAGCGCCCTCCCGGACCTGCAGGAGCGCGGGTCAGCCTGGGGAGGCCTGGGGGCTGTGCGGGCTGGGCAGCATGGCCCGCTCTTCCTGCACGCCCAGGCTGGCGCCCTCTGCCTGGGTCTCGTGGTCCTGACGTCCAGCCTCCCACGTCTCAGGAGGAACCGCAGCCCTGACACCGGCTCAGCTCCTCAACAAGCTGAGCTGCCCCTGCCAGAAGGCGGTCGTGGGGTCAGGCAGCGGCTCCCTGACCAGGTGGCCTGGGCATGACCCCGCGCCTCCTCTCAGTTCTGGGGGCAGCGGCCCCGCTCCCATCTCCACAGCAAGTCCTGTCTCCTCCTCTCCAGGTCCCAGCCCAACGCCCTTGTCACTGTCCTCATCACCCCAGGACTCACCGGCCTTGTAACTCATCTCTCCCTCCCTCCCTCCCTGCCTCCCCTGGCCTGGTGCGGAGCCTGCCTGGAAGACGTGGAAGCCGATGGGGTGAAGCTGGCTGTCACCGAGCCGGCAGTGCTGCTGCAGGGTGATTCGGACGCAGCGGGGACCAGCACCCTCAGGCACGGAGAAGGGGAGGCAGGGGTTGCAGGGGTAGGAGGCGAAGTTCCTGCTGCCCCCCGCAGTCCAGCCAGCTTTCCAGCAGCCCCGCAGCTGCATGGTCTCCACCTGGTCAGCAGGCAGGGCTGCCCTGGGGTCAGTGCCCTGGGCCGCTGGTCTCTCAGCACGGCTGGGGGACAAGCACAGGGGGGTGCTGACACAAACACGTCCCACCTCGGACCAAGGTCCCTGCTCTGCCTCCCGCTGGCCCCTCACCTGAGGGACATCTTCCCAGTGGAGAAGACCCGCAGCAGGAACTGTGCAGACACACCCTTCAGGAAGGTGCTGGGGACAGCCAGGTAGCGGCCCGGGGAGAGCTCACAGCGCAGGTGTACTTCTCGGTCGTAGGCGTGGCACACAGTGCCTGCCACCGGGGGCGCGGACAGGACCCTTGGCAGGCTGACCCGCCGCTTCTCCACCTGCCGAGGGCAGGCAGCGGCTCAGAGCTCCCTTCCCAGGGCCTTGCCTCCCACGGCCCTGGCGCTAGGTCTACAAGAACCGGAACTCTGGACAGCTGAGTGCAGGGCCAAGGCAGCCCGGGGTTGGCCCAACAAAGCACTGCAGCACCTGCTGCAGGAAGGAAAGACTCAAAAGGGACCAAGGACAAGAAGGTGTGAGCCAACACAGCCTGTCAGGACACACGGAGCAGCTCCAGCTGCTGTGAACTCAGCCCTGCTTCTCTCAGACACCTCCACCGTTCCTCCAGGAACAGCCAAGTTTACGAGCTGAGGGTGGAGCCCTCAGCACACTGTCAGGAGACCAGCGCCCTGGTCCTTGCTGCAGCAGGGGATGGGGAGAGAGAGAGGCGGGGCGACTGTCACAGGTCCCCAGGCTCCTCCCCCAGGGTGGTTCGGCCTGGACGGTCCAGGGAGGAGCCCCAGTGGGCCTGTGGGTGGCCCTCCTGCTGGCCCTGGCCTCGGGCTGCCAGGCAACATTCTGGGCACCAGGCTAGAGGGTGAGGGCCTTGGATCCGGGGGGGGCTCTGTGGGGCACAAGAGGACGGCAGCGAGGAGGAGGGGCTGAGACTCTGGGGCTCAGTGGGCGGAGCTACCTTCCAGATGTGCAGGCCCACAGCCTGGTAGTCCTTGCCAGAGAGGCTGGCCGGGGCAGCACCGTGGCCCAGTAGCGGCCGGGCCCGGGCCTCTGTGCGCCTCTGTGGCCTCTGCAGGACGGCCACACACACCTCGCTGGGTTCCGACAGGTGCAGCCAGAACTTGGGGTTGGAGGGAAAGCAGCTGTTGTTCCGGCAGCCTCCCGCCGACTGCCCCTTGACCCAGGCACCAGGCAGTGCCCGTGCGTGGCACAGTGTCCTCTCTGGAGGAAGGGCACATGCATGAGCTCGGGGACAGCCGCCTCTGGGAGTCCGTCCCTCCCCAGGCCCAGCTGCCCCGGCAGGAGCTGGGGGCTTGGCAGCCTGAGCGGCCCCCGACTAGAGGCACAGTCCACACCAGGCGCCTACCTGTGTAGAGGCTCTGCAGGTGGCCGGCCTCCGTGACTGGGTAGCTGATGGTGACCTCGTCAAACTCCCTGAGGAACTCCCCCTCCTCCACCCAGAACTCCCCGTCCTGCAGCTGGGACAGGAGCCTGGCCTCGTCGGTGGACTCCAGCTGGCTCCAGCCTTCACCCCTTCAAAGTGAAGGAACTTCATTTCGCCTGAAGCCTCTCCTGAAAGCGGGCACCGGAGAGCCGCATGCCCAGCAGCCCCTGCTGCCCCTCTCCTTCCCTCTCCCCAGGAGCTTCGTGCCTCCGAAGCTGTCCTCCAGAGCTGCCACACCATCTTGTGTGGAGCTGCCGTCTCATCTCCATGTTGAGGAGCTGGGGCTCAGCGGGGCTGTGGAGTCCAAGACCTCAGAGCTCTCAGGCCTCAAAGGGATCCTGGTTCCAGCCACGGCACCCCCAGGCCCACACTCACCCAAAAACCCTGTAGGGCACACACCATCCTACGGAGTCCCCCGAGGACTGCCCAAGGCCCAGGCAGGAGCAGAGCTGGGATGACCAAGCACTGCCTGGCATCCGGAAGTGGCCGAGCACAGGCAGGTTGGCACAGAGGCCCAGGCTCTCACAGGGTCCCAACGGCCCCTCCCTCCTCCCCTGCCCTTTGGGTCCTCACCCCTCTCTCCAGAGTCCCTGCCAGCACTGCCGCCCCCAGGGGTTCAGAATCCGAAGCAGGAGGATGCCCTGGCCAGCCCGGCTCTGCAGCTCCTGCAGGTCAGAGACGATGAAGGCGTGGAACTCCCCCATCACCCTGGCACCTGTGCGAGGACAGCAGCACGTGGCACAGGCTGAGCAAGACGGAGGTTTCTGTTTCCTGCCCAGGGCCTCAGGAGGCCTCGGGTCCCCAGAGCAGGGCAGCGCAGTCCCGTTCCCAAGCGCAGGCCGGTCAGCTTGCGTCCTGGGCTGGTCTGCTCACCACACTGAAGGGCCAGAGCCCGGGGCCTGGCTCCTGCCCCTGGGGCCTGGCACTGTGCTGGTCACTTCCCTCTCAGGCCTCAACTGTCACCATGTTAGTGTAGGATGGGTGCAGGCCACTGCTGCCACTCAGGAGCCTGCAACTGCCGTCACTCAGGCGCCTGCAACTGCCAAGAGCTGAGAGACCATCAAGCAGAGCTGGGTGGAACAGGGGACTGGGGCCCAGGAGACAGCACCGCCTGGCCAGAGACCTTGGGATGGGTGGACACCAGCCAGCAGGCACCAGGAGCGCCGGCCTGGAAGGGAGTTGGCCCAGAGGGGCAGGAAGCCGGAAGTGATGTCGATGCTTTGCTTAGAAGCCACGCTAGGGGTCCCCCACATCCTTAGCCAGCCACTTGCGGGCGGGGGGGGTGGGGTGGGAAGGGTCAGGAATTAGCCCTGGAACACTCTGGGAGTGACCCTAGACCAACAGTTCTGGGGAGCTGGTGCTCAATGGCAAGTTCCTACACCCCTCAGGAGGGTTGCAGGGGGCCCTATGTGCCGCATGGTGTGAGCCAGGGGTCAGTGGCTAGCAACACGGAGTCTCCCCTTCTGTCTCAGATTCTCTGCCAGCCCTTGATACACTGACCAGGGCAGTGTGAAGGACAATGTTTCAGTTTATTTTGATGTTCATATATATATATATATATATATATATTTTTTTTTTTTTTTTGGTACTGGGGATCGAACATGGGTCCTTGCGCTTGCGCAGCAGGTGACGAAACCACTGAGCTAAATTCCTGGCCCCTGATGTTTATATTTTTAACTAAAATATTATGAGAACAATCCTAAATGTCTATAAAATATAAAAATGCTCAGTGCAGTGTTATTTAGAATTATGAAAAGACTTTACCCAACATTACAGGAAGGATTGGGAAAACTCAAGCAGATAACTAACAAAATGAGACATTAACAAGGCTTACGTAACAGCATAGGAAACGGGTCATACAAACACCGGAAAATGTACATACTCTTAGGAAAAAGCCGAGAACATGCGCTAAACAGTCAAAGTGGGTGACTTTTTTTCCTTTCTTTTTTGGCAAACAAACTTTTTAAAATGAACGATACTAAAATGAAAAATAGGCTTGGATTCTGCCAAGTCAGCAGCCAGGGTGGGAGGGTGAACACGACAGACTTGGACTTGGTGCCTGCCACCTGCTCACTAAGCTGCCTGTGTGTGACAGCGACCACAATGCATATCTCACCTCCCTGTATGCAAGGAAGGGGGTGGGGTCAGCGTCCCCTGGTGAGGGACAGGGAGGCAAAGGCACAGCCCTAGCACACCACCCCAGGACAGACTTCCTCCTCCTCCTCGGTCCTGACAGAGCCACGAAGCAATTCTGTCCTAAGTGAGTGGCGTTCAAGGCGGGGCTGTCCAGGCCTTACCTGCTCTGGGGCTGAGCACCGAGCAGCTGATCAGACACCGGTCCTTCAGGCGCAGCATCTGCCAACAGGTCCTGTGCTCCTGCCCACCCGTGGGCCTATCCTGCTGCCTGCTGCTTCCAGCTGGGCCCTTCAGGTTCCACCTCTCTGCCAGGCCACCAGTTAGGTCCACCAGGGCATCGGCCACCTGCCCTGCCCACAGGTGTTCGTAGGACCCGTGGACCCTAGGGTGCCACAAACACAGCCACAGTGAGCCTCCCCTATACCCGCTCAGCTCCCAGGCCCTCAAGGCCCCTGTGCCTGACCATCCGCTGTGGTCCTGCTGTCCTCTGCCCATGTTCAGACGCCTGCCTGTCTCCAGTATGGGCCCAGTGCAGGGCAAGAGTGTGCAGCCCCTCACCCTCATGCCCCACGCTCGCGTGCCTGCCTATTGGTGCAGAGCCTCCAGCAAGAGTGAAAGGCAGCCTAGGAGGAAAGTGGCCTCACGCAGGCTTGGGACAAGCAAGCGCTGCATGTCCAGGTGGCTCATTCCTCCCAACTGGGCACAGGCCACTTGTCCCGAAGATTTAAAGACACAGACACAGAACTGTCTTTCTGGTGGTCGGAAAAAGCAAAGGGAGGACATGCATGTCCCCTCTGGCAGAGGTGATGCTTCGAGGCTGGACTGTGGAATGAGGGAGGGAAGGGGCAGGGAGAGTGTCTGGGACCTCAGGGCTGGCTGCCTGACCTCGAGGACGGAGCAGATGAAGCTGGAGCTGGGGCTGGGTGGGAGCAGCCCTAGGCGAAGAAGCTGCCCAGCGTGGCCCTGTCACCTCTATGCAGCACACGTACTTGGCATAGACCTTTTCCAGTAAGGGAAGCCAGAACACATCCTCTCTCTGGCACCGGGAGAAGCAGAGTCTCCCTGCAAGACAAGGCAGACGGTCATCTATGGTCACTTCCTCCCAGCGTCCGAACTGCCAGATCCGACAGATGAAGAGGCCACGGTACGTCTGGTCGGACCAACTTGGCTGTCCTGGAGGGAAGACCTATGGTGCACAGGGAGAGGCACAGAGAGCACGAGACAAGTGTCATCCGGGCTTCCTCCGTGTCCTAACTACAGTTCGACCACAATGGAAGCGCGCCCCAGGCCTTGCTGAGTGCAAAGGACTCTAGATGCCTATGTCAAAGCAAACGCAATCGCTGGATCCAAAGTTCACAGACGTTTCATTTTAATATTTGAGGACCACACTTTGGTTCCCAAAGCTTTTTTTTTGGTACCAGGGATCGAACTCGGGCCCTTGTGCTGGAGAGCCCAGCGCTGGAACCACTGAGCGAAATCCCTGGTCCAGCCCCAAAGCTTTTTTTTTTTTTACCCAAAACAAAAACCAAAAGCACAGAGACTTTGGCAGGCACCAGTGACCCAATCCTCCACATAGCTGGCTATAAACAGCAGATCCCATGGCCTATCAGCCTCGCCTGCTGCCCACACTGGCCAGCTGCTGACCCCAGGTGTCCACTCTGGATTCCTTTGGGTTTCTTCCTGACCCAGCAGTGGATTACTTGGGGTGGTGCTGGCTCTACCACTCGAGAGCTGGGAACATGATGACCAGGGTGTCAGCACCCTCATTTGCAAAAAGGGTCAGAGCTGCAAGGCTGTGCAGAGAGGCAGCGACGGACTGCCTGGTGGACAAGAGCAGCCCTGCAAGGGCCACCTTGCAACAGGCCACTCCTACCACAGCGACTGCTGGAAAGAGAAGCCGTAGAGGAGTCTCTCTGCGGTAACTGCCTGCACCAGCAGTTCCAACTACCTTCCACCTGCTTCTATTTAAAACTTGCAAACCCCCCAAAACTACCTAAGGAAACATGCCAAACTAGTAACAGGGACACCTTGGCCATGCTGCCTGCTTATCCCACAGGCATGGCTCTGCCTTCTAGAGAAGGCAGGGTTTAGAAGACAGAAAGGCAGGGACTCAGTGAGGTCTCAGTGTGTCCTCGGGCCCTCAGGCCTCCCACTGACCATGCTGGGCAGCTACAGCAGCATCCCCATGCAGTCACCAGCCTGCAGCAGCAGCAGGGCTCTGCTTTCGGGAGTGCTTCCCATGCTCCCCAGGGAGGAGGAAGAGCGCCCCGCACCCCAGATCCCAGGCGAGGGACGCTCCATACCTGGTCCAGGAGGTGCCGACTCTTCTGCAGGGCGGCACAGGCACACAGGAACCAGCAGTCACCCAGCAGCCCTTGCTTCACTTGTCCCTCCCATGGGTTATCTGGAAACAGCTGGGGCGTGGTACAAATTTCCTGCAATAAAGAAAATCATTCAGAAAACTGTCCAGAGTTAGACCATGCCTGATGGCTAACCTGCAAGCTAAGGACCCAGGATCCAGGTCATCGGTTGGGAGGAGCTTTCTGATCACCTGAGCTTCCTGGCTCAAAAGCGGAGGCAAAGAAGCAGGCTTCCCAAGGCTGGCATCTTTCAGCGCCACCCGGCTTCAGATCCCCATCCTGCTGAGAGGCAGGGGTGCCCATCTCTGTCCACCTCCCTTAGTGGCAGAACCTCTAGCTCTGCACAAATCCTAACATGTCCTCCTCTTGAACAGCTGCATGTTGGCTTAGAAAACAGCCTCATGTTACACATACATGATGGCAAATCTCAAATGCATCCTGTGGACACCAACGGAAATCTTACCGTCTGTCTATAAAGGTCAGTTTCCCATGCCCCCCCCCCGCCGACTTTCTTCCCTTTGCCCTTTCTCTCTCCCCTGAGAACATCCATGCCCCTCTGGGCTGCCAGCCTCACCTCCTGCTGCACATGAACCCCTGGACCAGACCCTTCTCCCAGCCCTGAAGCTGGGCTCCTCACATTGCTCCCCGGGCTTGGGCATCCCCTTGGATAGATCTCCAGCATAAAGGCAGGAGAGTGGCTCTCCCATCTCCTGCAGATGTCACCCAGGGGCAGTACGTCCCCTTGCATGCCGCCCTTTACTGACAACCTTCTCAGAGGAGCTGCTGCCCCCATTCCCTGCCTCCCTTCACTCCCCACAAAGCCCTCTAGCTTCTGAGTGCATCATGCCCCAAGCTGCCTCTATCAATGTCCCCTCCATGTAAAACCCAGTAGGAGCCAAGCGCAGTGCTGCACGCCTGTAATCCCAGGAAGGCTGAGGCAGGAAGACTGCATGTTCCACCTCAGCCTGGGCAACTCAGTGAGACTGCGTCAAAATAAAACACTTTACAAAGGGCTGGGAATGTGGTCTAGCGGTTAAGGACTTGCCTGGCATGCATGTATGTGGCCCTGGGTTGCATATCTGCATCTCACATATACACACACACACACACACACACACACACACAACCAGCGGCTTCTCAAACATGCCTGTCAGGGAGCCTGCTTGCTCCACGACACCTCAGTGCTCCTCCATGATCAGCCCCAGCCCCTCCTCTACCCCCCCTCCCTCCCTGAGATGCTCTCCTAGGCTCTGCCAGACTCCAATGCCCAGAGAAAGGCCTCCAGTGCGGCTCTTCCTGACTGTCCAATAGCTCCACCTGAACTTGGGGTGTTGGGGGCAAACTCAACTCAAAGCACGGGGCTCTGACCTGGGACCGCAGCACACGCGGGCACTCAGGTAAGAAACAGAGAAGTCACTCTTGATTCCACCTCTAGCCTCACCTCTGCTTCAGTCAGCACTAAGGCCTGTCAATGCCCTGCCAGAGTATTCCCCGACCACCTCCAAAGCCCTATCGGACAGCGGTTCTGTACCCGAGCCCATCATCCCTCTCCAGGACCAGCACAAGGGCGGCCTGCAGGCTCGCCCCAATTATTTCCACCCAGGAGCAAGAGAGCTTCTTCCTTTCCCACTGTTCTCTTTCTTGTTTGCTGTTATTATGAGGTGATGCACCCACAGGTTTACAATATTAAAGGACATTCACTGAATAATAGCAAAGAACTCTAAATATTTAATGCCATCACTGTCATCCTCTGCTTGGGTCCCCAACAAGAGAGCTTCTTCAAACATAATTCCAGTAGAATCAGCCTTCTACCAAAAATCCTCTACTGGCCTCTTATTGCACCTAAAACTCATTTTCAAATAAAATAAAACCCAAATTCCAATGGCATGGCCCACAGGGCTTTTCATGCTCTAGCCCGTCTCCTTCCAGGTCCTGCAGCGTTGTCCAAGGAAACCAGGCTGTTTGCCAAAGCCACCCCAGTTGCAAGCGCCAAGCACCTCTGGCTGTTTAAGGGTAAGTGGCAATCCAGGACTGCATACAACACGCCCAGGGTAAGGTTGTTCTCTGGACAGCAAATAAACGACTTCTAAAAATATCAGGGAAGCAATAGTCCAGGGCATCTCTCGGTCATGTAAGTGTTTACAATAAATGCAGGTGCACAAGGTCCACTACTGAACTTCTACCACAGCTTTGCTTTGTGGGCTCAGCCTAGCCTTCTGGAAGAGCATCGGGGAACCTTCCTGCCAGTGAGGATGACACACAAGGAACAGAACAATGGAGCAGAGCCACTTGTGGCCAGAAGAAGCATGCAGACTAGAAGCCAGGGATAGACGCTCTTCACAGAGAAGCAGTTAAGTGTGGCTGGTTTGTATCTGTTAAGATACTTCACCTCTCTCAAAGTGCCTTGAGCCTCAAGATCAAACAATTCTTCAGTTGAATACATCTGAGACAAATTATTCACTTGATCTGGAAATTGCTGGTGACCTCAACTTTTTTGCCTATTTTGCAACATGTAGGTCAGCCTACTCAGTTCCCTGGCCATGTACAAGGGCAGTCAGCCACTCCTCCACTTTTCACCATGGTCTGGCTAACCGTAACGATCCCAATTCCTGTTCTGTCATCTCTTGTGCATACCCCAAACGTTGAGTTCCACTGGGACAAATATAAAGCAAAATGAAAGACCATGAGAAGAGTTAGTCCTGCCTGTTATGCTGGACTTACACACGGCCAAACTGATGTGGCAGGTTCATCTCAGTAATGTCTTCAATTATACCCCTCCACTGCATAACAGAACAATTTCCTATTAATTAACATTCTTACTTTGGTCTTAGAATGTTTTACTACAAATATCCCGGGACAAATTCTTCAGCTGCACACATCCGAGAGACGAATACCTTCTGAAACAGAGCACGTCTCATCTGCAGCCTTAGGGTTGGCAGCTCGACTTGAGCAGCCAGGGGGCGGGGTCCCTGAGCAGCGGGAAGCCGCCTGAGGGCTCGGCTGCAGGCCCCGAGTTCCAAGTGCCTGCCTGCCCACCCGGCCCCGCCGAGGAGACCCGCGCCTGGCCCCACCTGGGGCCGCCTCCATGTGATCTCCTCCCGAAACTGGGCCAGTGGCGTGGACAAATTGAAAAAGAGCGAGGACTCCGAAGCCGGGAAGGTGGCGTCCCGGAAGAGCTCCCGCGCCGGCTTCTGGACCCGGCCCGCCCGCATCTTCGGGGCCCTGGTCTCCCATCTGCAGCCTGTGGACTCAGTCGCAGCCCGGGAGGGAGGGCGAGGCCGCAGCCGCTATCCCCGCCGACTAGCCGAAGGGACTTGCGAGACTAGCCATGCACCCTCCCGCTCCGTTGCCCAAGATAACCAGACTACAGCAAACTAGGCCGGTGCTCGTGTCACATGACACGGCGGCCCAATAGCAGGGGACCGTCGGCCTAGCGCGATCACCTTCCGGGCCTGGGGGCGGGACTCCCCGCTCAGCTCCCGCGATGCTGCAGGATTTTTCTCCTCTCTCTCCTCTCTCTCCTCTCTCTCCTCTCTCTCCTCTCTCTCCTCTCTCT